GCTGGATACGCCCGCAAGGGTCCAACCCTGAACAGTTGGGGCAAAAATGGACACAATATTCAAGCTTGATACAGGTCTGAATTTGGATTGCAATTAAATATTTGACATATTATAGGTTTCTGAATAAATGTAGTCAAAGAACTTGAAATTGGTTATATGAATTGAATTTATATTCAATTAAAGATTTCTTGCTGTTGTGAAATACACTGTGCTGTTGAGCAATACTTAGTAAATCTGTTATCAGACTATAAACAAATAAAGTTCAATTTCTTCTCAATGTCATATTTAAAATTTAAGAAAATCAATAGGGAGATTACATCAATAGCTATAAATAATTCACCAAAGTTTCATGAAAACTGCTGAAAGCATTTTTGAGTTATTGTCCAAAAACTGGAAAATCACCCCTTTTTTAATGAATAAAACCCCATAACTCAGAAATGTAGAATCTAAAATTCATAAAATTCTAAATGGAGCTAACATAAAAGATATAAACAATTCACCAAAGTTTCATGAGAACTGCTGAAAGCATTTTTTAGTTATTGTCCAAAAACTGGAAAATCCCCCTTTTTTATGAATAAAACCCTGTAACTCGGAAACATTAAATCTAAAATTTATAAAAATCCAAAAGGGAGCTCATGTCAATAGATATAAACAATTCACCAAATTTTCTTACAAGTTGGTGAAAGCATTCTTGAGTTATTGTCAGAAAACTGGAAAATCCCCCCTTTTTTAATGAATAAAACCCCAAAACTCGGAAACGGTAAATCTGAAATTTATAAAAACCGAAAGGGAGCTCATGTCAATAGATATAAACAATTCACCAAAGTTTCATGCATATTGGTTAAAGCGTTTTTGAGTTAATGTCCGACATGTTGATGACGGACGGACGGAGGGACAGACGGACGGACAGACGGTCAACGGTATACCATAATACGTCCCGTAAACGGGCGTATAAAAAATGCGGAAAACCAATTATTTTAGTGAATTTTCAAAGTCCAAGGGCAATAACGCTGCAAAAAACCATCAGATCATAACAAAATTTGAACTTGATCTGTAACTTGTCATGGTTATACTTTATTCCAAATATCAAATCAATACCTTCCAGCATGACCAAAAAAAGTGCAGAAAGCTGATTTGCCAGAAGGACGGATTGACGGAGAGACAGACAGAAAGACAGAGTGCAAACCTAAAGTCCACTTTAACTTCGTTGGTAGGGGACTACTAACCAAGAACTGCAAAATTTTCTTAAAATTATCAATTCAGGGGCAATAACCCAAAAATCACTGTCCGACTTGTCTGAAAATTAAATTGCAGGTAGATCTTGACCTAATGAATACTTTTACTTTATCAGATTTGCTGTTAATGCTTTAGTTTTTGAGATATAAGCTAAAACTGCAACATTACACCTTACTTCTATTTTGAGTCATGACAGCCATGTTTTTGAAGAAACAGTTAAAAAACACAAACTTTAGTCCAAGGACCATAACTCTGCAAACTAGATATCATTTAGATGGGAGCCATCTCTGTGGGCCCCGCTGTGAATAATGTGTGGTGAAAAAATTGGAACTTTACCATTGGACATGGGGTTGTCAACTGAAACCAAAGTTTTTGACCTTGACCTTTGACCTAGGAAGTTGTACATACATTATGACACACCCTCTGGTGTTTGTTAATATACATGTCAAGTATAAACTTTGAAATCATAACAGTTCTCAAGATATATAGCGGACACGATCTTTCCCATAGAACATGGGGTTGTCAACTAAAACCAAAGTTTTTGACCTTGACCTTTGACCTAGGAAGTTGTACATACATTATGACACACCCTCTGGTGTTGGTTTATATACATGGCAAGTATAAACTTTCAAATCATAACATTCTCAAGATGTAGAGTGGATCGATCTTTACCATTGGACATGGGGTTGTCAACTAAATCAAAGTTTTTGACCTTGACCTTTGACCTAGGAAGTTGTACATACATTATGACACACCCTCTGGTGTTGGTTAATATACATGGCAAGTATAAACTTTGAAATCATAAGGGTTCTCTAGATATAGAGCAGACACAATTTGTTATGGACAGACAGACAGATGGAACGACAGATGGAATGACTGATCACTATAAGGTGTCCGCCAATCGGCAGGGCCTTCAAAATCATCAGACCAGAACAAAATTCAAACTTGATCTATAACTTGTAATGGTTAAACTATATGCCATACATCAAGTCAATACCTTCAAGCATGACAAATAAATATGGATAGTGTCCACATGTGGACACAGATGATGCCCCCGCTTGCACATCATATAGATCTAAAGGGACATAACTGAAGAACGGTAAAAGTGACACTACCCAAATTTTAACTTGATCTGAGTTTTGTGGTAATAAGCATTGTGTGTAATTCTCATAACATTTGGTTGAGGCTAACTTAAGTTGAGAACACAAACTAAAAATTCAACAATTTCTCTATTTGTAAACACGCATAACTCTAGAACAGTTGTGTATAAGTTTTATAACATTTGGTTGAGACAAACTAAAGTTAGAGAACGGAAACGAAAAATTCATCAATTTTTATGTTTATAAAGGGACATAACTCAAGAATGGTAAAAGTGTTGCCACCAAATTTTGTACTTAATCTGTATTATGTAGTAATAAGCATTGTGTATAAGTTTCATAACATTTGGTTGAGGCAAACTAAAGTTAGAAAACGGAAACACAAAATTTGTACTTGATCTTAGTTTTGTGGTAATGAATATTGTGTATAGGTTTCATAATGTTTGGTTGGGGCAAACTTAAGTTACACAATGGAAACTAAAAAAATTTGCAATATTTCGATTTATAAAGGGGCATAACTCAATAATGGTTAAAGTGACATTACCCAAATTCAACTTGATCTGTGTTTTATCAGTGGAAGTAAAAATTATACATTGCATTGTATAAAGCATTGATTGTAGTTGATTCAACTATAATCATGGACAAAGGAAGATAACTCCAATTTTAATAAAATGCTCTGCTGGGCACAGCTTGATACGACCGCAGAGGTCGAACCTTGAACAGTTTGGGCAAGTATGGACACAACATTCAAGCTTGATACAGCACTGAATTTGGATTGTGATTAAATATTTGACACAGCATTGGTTTCTGACACAGAATGAATGTGGTCTAAGAACTGAAAATTTTTATCTATTCAAACCATATCATTATTATTTGCTTTTATATATAAATCAGAAATAACCAATTTAAAACGGAAAATATTAAAGAAAAAAAAGGAAAAAAAATCCCCTACCCAAATTTTTTAAACCCCCTTATGATTCATCACCCCAAACTCAATCCTTGCCTTCCCTTAGTGGTATGGTACCTTGCAGTACAATTTCAGAGAGATCCATACACTTGAACACAAGTTATTGTCTGGAAACTAGAAAAATGCTTGTTTTTTGGCCCCTTTTTAGCCCCAAATTCCTAAACGTTTAGGGCAATTACCCCAAACTCAAACCCAGCTTTCCATTTGTGATATGGAACCTTGTAGTACAATTTCATAAAGATCCATACACTTACACACAAGTTATTGTCCTGAAACTAGAAAAATGCTTTTTTTTTTTCCTTTTTGGCCCCTAATTCTTAAAATTTGGAGACAATTACCCCCAAAATCAATCCCAGCCTTCCCTTTATGATATGGTACCTTGCAGTACAATTTCAGAGAGATCCATATACTTGAACACAAGTTATTGTCTGGAAACTAGAAAAATGCTTATTTTTGGCCCCTTTTTGGCCCCTTATTCCTAAACGTTTTGGGCAATTACACCCAAACTAAATTCCAGCTTTCCCTTTGTGATATGAAACCTTGTAGTACAATTTCATAAAGATCCATACACTTACACACAAGTTATTGTCCTGAAACTAGAAAAATGCTTGTTTTTTTGCCCCTTTTTGGTCCCTAATTCCTAAAATTTTGAGGCAATTACCCCCAAAATCAATCCCAGCCTTCCCTTTATGATATGGTACCTTGCAGTACAATTTCAGAGAGATCCATATACTTGAACACAAGTTATTGTCTGGAAACTAGAAAAATGCTTATTTTTGGCCCCTTTTTGGCCCCTTATTCCTAAACGTTTTGGGCAATTACACCCAAACTAAATTCCAGCTTTCCCTTTGTGATATGGAACCTTGTAGTACAATTTCATAAAGATCCATACACTTACACACAAGTTATTGTCATGAAACTAGAAAAATGCTTGTTTTTTGCCCCTTTTTTGGCCCCTCATTCCTAAAATTTGGTGGCAATTACCCCCAAAATCAATCCCAGCTTTCCCTTCGTGATTTGGAACCTTGTGGTACAATGTCAGAGCGATCCATACACTAACACACAAGTTATGTCTGGAAGTTACAAAAATGCTTATTTTTGGCCAATTTTGGCCCCTAATTCCTTAACTGTTGGTACCATAACCCCCAAAATCAATCCCAACCTTCCTTTTGTGGTATTGAACCGTATGGTAAAATTTCATAAAGATCCATTCATTTAAACTAAGTTAGAGTGCGAAAACCAAAATTCAAACTTGATCTGTGTTTTGTGGTAATAAGCATTATGTATAAGTCTCATAACATTTGGTTGAGGCAAACTTAAGTTAGAGAACGGAAACTAAAAATTTTGCAATTTTTCCATTTATAAAGGGGCATAACTCTTGAATAGTTAAAGTGACGCCACCAAAATTCAAACTTGATCTGTGTTTTGTGGTAATAAGTATTGTGTATAAGTTTCATAACATTTGGTTGATGCAAACTCAAGTTAGAGAACAGAAACCAATTTTGGGACGTACGGAAGTACGGACGGACGTACAGACGGACAAGGGTAAAACTTAATGCCCCTCCGCTAAGGGCGATGGCATAAAAAAACAGTAAATACAACCAAGCAAATTTATACTAAGGACAAAGCTCTGCTTTTTATTGGACTATATTAATGTATGAAAACCATAGGCAATTGGAAATATACCTGAACAACAGTTTTCAGGTAAGATATATTAAGTTCACATTACCTTCTTCAACCTCAATATTACTGCCAACTTCCTTATCTTCTAATGGTTGTATCAAAACTAAAATAAAACAGGAAAAATTTAATGACATATGATAAATCATGACTCCAGATTCAAATATAAAACTGAATTTAGAAGAAAAGTGGCCTTGGACAATGATGCCACACAAATCAGTCCCAATATTGGTTTTTAGGATGCAGATGATTGAAAATTATACAAAAAAGAATACAAAAATTCAAACTTTACACTCAATAAACAGGAAGTACATGTATAGATATGGGATAGTAAAACATCTCACACAGGATACAACGAATCATGCCACTGCCTCAAACAAATTCTCTAATCATTCTATGAAAAGTTCTCCAGATTTAGCAAATTAATTGATGCATGTAGGAAAGATGTATGGATAAACTTATTTAAAGTTACCTTGTTCAACCTCATTACTTTTGTCAAATTCCTGGTTCTCCTCATCTTCATCATCAGATGGTATTTTCAAAACTAAAAAACAAGATTGTATGCAATGTTCTGCTAAGGGTTTACCCTCAAAATTAAAATCTTACTAACTAATCAAAAATGAATTTGGGGTCTGGCAGCTTGAAAATAGGAGACATCACAATGTCAAAGCTTCATTCCAATCTTTTGATATGCTTTTCACATGAAGAATGTAAGAAAATTTATTCCTTTTAAGGTTACTGTTTTATATTTTGTAACATTTTCACTTGATAGAGGTGATTTAAATCTTAAGTGTTTAAAATTGAATGAACTTGCTGGCCATGAAAAACTTTTGATAAGTCAAGTAGTTGGTAGAGTTTCTTGAATCTTTTAGCATTGTGGAAGACAATATTTCATTTGCTATCTCAATATTTTCAAATTATCTGAAAAATTAATCTCAATTGCCACCTGGAGATTTTAACTGTAGAAGTTGAGAATATTCAGGTTGTTTTGAGTGGTACCCATATGAATGATAAATTGTCCAAGCTACAACAAAAAAACTGTAGGCAAACAGGGGCGGATCAAAAACTTCCTTAACTGGGGGGGCACATAACCCCCAAAAGTGTATGAACAAGCATTCTGAGAGTATTGCATGGCAATACATAGTCTCCTACCGGATAAAAATTCATTATACTGGAACAAAATGCTAACTTGTTCTATAACTTGTCATGGTGTAAACAAAAAGTAAATATCATGTCAATATCTTCAAGCATGACTAAAAACAGTGTGGAAAACTGATTATATGCGTAAAATTTTTCAAGTCCAAGGACCATAACTCTGCACAAAATTATTAGACCGAAACAAAAATTTGAACTTGATCTGTAACTTGTCATGATAAAACTATATATATACCAATTATCAATCAATATCTTATAAGCATGATGAAAAAAACATCAGATATGATTAATAGTTCTCTAAAATTAGATATGATGTAATTTTCATTTGTATACGACTTGAATAGTCTCCTTTTCTTGTTGAATCAATTTACTCACCCTCTGTCGTTTGGTAGAACTCCCCCCCCCCCCTTTTTTCCAAAAAATTCAAAATAAAACCTATGAATTATATATATATAATTACTGTCTGGTATTTTAATTTCTTAATTCAACTTAAGATCGTTTTCCTCTACGTAAATTTTACATTGATGTTCTACAAAAGGAAATCACGAATTCACCAACATTCCAACTGACTCCATTTTCGGAAAATGACATCTGTAACAAACATAAACTTTTAGCTACCTCTTTACAAGCAGAACCAAATACAATGAAAGTTCCAACTATGTACTGGCTTCCAAAGCTGCACAAAACTCCTTCCAAATATAGATTTATTTCGTCTTCAAGCCATTGTTCCACTACTAAACTATCTATTCTACTTACTAGTACACTTGGTACAATCAAAAACCTGGTAATAAATTGTTCAAATAAGGCCTTTGAAAATAGCGGAATTAATTACTTTTGGAGTGTCAAAAATTCGTTCGAAGTACTTGATAAATTGCATGCTTATATTGGTGATTTCCAATCTGTTCAAAGTTTTGATTTTTCTACCCTATATACCACGTTGCATCATAATCTTATTAAGAAAAAATTCACACACCTTTATAAATGGGCATTTAAAAAGTCGGAATGCGAATATATATGTTCAAACTCTTTTAGGTCATTTTTCAGTAACAACAAACAAAAGAACTATGTCAATTGGAACCTGCTTTGATACTATAACTGCCCTTGAATTTTTACTATATAACATTTTTGTTCGCTATGGAGATTCCGTATATCGCCATGTTATCGGAATTCCCATGGGGACTAACTGAGCACCACTTATTGCGGACCTGTTTCTGTATTGTTACGAGTTACAATTTATGACTAAAATCAGCAAAGACCCATAGAAACAACGTCTGATTCAAAAATTTAATAACACTTTGAGATATTTAGATGATATATTGACTCTCAATAATGACGACTTCAGTATGTACACTAAAGAGATTTATCCTGCCGAACTGACTTTAAATAAAGCTAATACTAACAATGGACACTGCCCTTCCTGGATTTTGATATCTTTATCTTTAACGGGAAGCTTAATACCAAAATTTATGATAAAAGAGATGATTTTTCATTTCCTATTGTTAATTATCCATTTTTAGATGGTGACGTTCCCTTGTCGCCATCTTATGGTGTTTATATATCTCAACTTGCTCGATTCCCTCGTGTATGTAACAACGTATTTGATTTCAACGAAAGAAATTTCTGTATTACTGAAAAATTATTACACCAGGGTTTTCGATATCACAAACTAGTCAAAACATTTACTAAATTTTATCATCAGTACAAGGACATCATTCGTAAATATAAATCAACATGCAGACATCTTATACGTTCAGGTATTTCACATCCAATATTTTATGGTAATATTCTTTACAAAGCACAAAAATGTCGGCATTCACCTCAAAAGCTAACCAAACCTTTAAACAGACTTATTCGGAAAGGATATAGTTACAATACTGTTGTCAAGTCATTAAGGATTGCATATTTTGGTATTAATATTGATTCACTCATAGGGTCTTTGCATCGGAAATAAACACATTTATTCTAAAACCAATTGTTGGCATGATAGGGGTTATGTTCTTCTCATATATTTTATGATGGTATGATACTAAACCCCCAACGGGAGGGATTGTACTTGATTTTCATATGATGAAGACATAATCTTTCAATCAGTTTAATTGAATTCTGGAGCTGGCATGTCAGTAACTGCTAGTAGTCCTTTGTTCTTTTATGTATCATTGTCATTTTGCTTAGTTCTTTTGTTACCTATTCTGACATTGGACTCAGGATTCTTTTAAACTGAGTTTTACTGTGCGTATTGCTATGTGTTTCTTTATTCTACATTGGCTAGAGGTATAGGGGGAGGGTTGAGATCTCACAAAACATGTTTAACCCCGCTGCATTTTTGCGCCTGTCCCAAGTCAGGAGCCTCTGGCCTTTGTTAGTCTTGTATGTTTTTTAATTTTAGTTCATTTATATGTTTTTGGAGTTTAGTGTGACATCCATTTTCACTGAACTAGTACACAATTTTATTTAGGGGCCAGCTGAGGACCACCTCAGGGTGCCGGATTTTTTATCGCTGCGTTGAAGACCCATTGGTGGCCTTCGGCTGTTGTCTGCTCTTTGGTCCGGTTGTTGTCTCTTTGACATATTCCCCATTTCCATTCTCAATTTTATCAATATCCATATAGTATTCAACAAACCCGGTAGGTGTTTGAAACTAAGAACCATCAAGGAATTATATATTACTAAATTAGATATTCAATTCCTTGTTAACATGTAAAAAATGTCACCACCCAGCATGAATTATACACACATTTTAGGAAATAGACACTGTCAATATTTATACACACAGATCCACAACTGATCAGTTAATAAATCATAAATCACCCGTATCGAAGCTTTTGATAATTAATGGTCCAGTCTGGAAGTAAGGTCAAGCTGTGAGTATATTTGTCATTTCCGCACACCTGGCAGCTCATTTTAATAAAATTTTGTGTTAGAAATTTTTTTTGGTGACCTCAACTTGGGAACTGTAAGAGGAGTTGATTACACAAATTGTGTACCACCCATCTGCCTGCCTGACATCACCATACTATAGACTGGATTTTGACTTCGTCAAACCTGGCCAATGTATGTAATAAAAAATATAACTACTCCAAGAATTAAAATATTGAAAAATATTAAAATCATGACTGAAAAACTCTAACTCATGTGGTATGCACATTCATGTATTAATGTGTTGTTTGGTCACACATTGAACTTTTTTCTTTATTTTAATTCTTGGATTAATTATTCTATAAATATTCAGTGTTGTGTGTACAAATACAATAGGTTACAACTAAATAACTATCAGTGGGGCATATAATTACTATGCTTCTAACTAAGTCCAAGACCAAATTGATATTGCATACAATTTCAAAAGGAATGTGCTATTAATAGACATACCTCTACGTTTCCTTGTCAAGTTCTCAATATCACTATCACTGTCAGTATATGTTTCTCTATTGCCTATGAATAATTGAGATTATGAAAGAATTTTCTGCAAAAGTCAGGCAAAAAGAATCAGCAATAAACAATATATGTATGCTGTGTTACTCAACATATCAATTTAACCTAACCCAAAAGTTTTCTTAAGAACAAAATAAACAAGTAAAACTGTGAGCAACTGCTCACTGATAATACCCCTGCCGAAATATTTCAGTAAACAGGAAGTTATTGAGTGATGAATCTGAAAATGCATCACACGGAGTAACTTACTTACATTAACCCTGAAACCAAATTTCAGAAATCCTTGTCAAGTAGTTCCTGAGAAAAATGCGATGAAAGTATTCATGGGACAGATGGACTGACGAACGGACTGACGGATGGATGGATGGACTGACGGATGGACAGACAGAGGTAAAACAGTATACCCCCACTTTTTTAAAGTGGGGGTATAATAATATGTGCAAAATATGTGTTATCTGTAACTCATTGATTTTTAGATATGGCATTAATCAAACTTGTATGTTATAATTTAATATTTATCAATATTTATCACCAGCCCAGTAGCCAGTACTTCGGTTCTGGCATGAAATTATGGATATTGTTATATTGAAATTTTCTGTTATAAATTTTGGAAATTATACAAATTAAGGAAGTTCGCTACTCAGTTTCAAAATAACAAGTTTTTCATAACACTAGTATATATTGATAGGGGATTAATAAAGGAACCAAAAGTGCCAACAAAAAATATAGGTCTGTGTGCTCGTTTTCGAGATATTAGCCATTGACATTTTGGCGGGAAAATGTTCTCTCTTGATTTTTCATAGCTTTATCATTGCCAAGTTTAAGTACTCAAAAACTATTAAAAAATAACAAAGATTTTATAAGACTTTTAAATATGTCATATAATTATACATGTAAAAAATTTATAAAAAGAAAAATGGGGGTTTAAAAATTATAAGTCAGCAAAATTTTGTAAGGTATTAACATGGATTAAACCAGAGAATTCTTAATATCTGACAAAAATTCAAAAATGTGACAAGCGAACAGCCTTAAGGAAAATATCTCCCTCATGCAAAGCTGTGATTCATTGTTCTGATTTTGGTCATTCTTTTGGTCCTTTATTATTTGATTTGCTCTTCAACATTTGCATAAGTGCTTTGGTTTTCAAATATTTTGGCCTCAAGCATTATTTGTTGAAATGCGCATCTGGTGCAATAAATTAGGTACCGTTTATGTTATTATAAAAGTTAAAAAACATAATTAAGATCAATATATTTGATATTTATATATTTTTGACAAAAAGCTACACGGTTCTGTTTTTAAATGTCACTGATAATTTATAGGAAAACTGGTAAAAATTCTCTTTTTTAAATGAGTCGAGAAACACCTTCAAAGAATTTTTTGAAAAATAGTGTTAAGATATGGAAATAAATGGAAAATTACCAAGTGAATTACCATTGTGCACAAGGAGTTGGTGCTTAAAAGTTTTATAAGTAAACTTGACATTCCTTGGAAACTGGATCACTCAGCTGAATGTAATATGAAAGCTGCCTAAGAAGCATATAGAATAGCACCAAAAGTTGATTTTATTGCCCAGTAAATATATTTTGTAACATTGGCCCTAATAGTTTTAAATGACCTGAACAGAAATAAATCCTTCAAACAATTCCATAACAGCAGGTGCACAACTTTATCATATGTACAAGCTTCCTGTAAAATTTCAGGGATCTGGTTTGAAAACTGAAGGAGGTGCTGATTACACCAAACTTGTACCCTCTTAAGTTCCCAAGTCTGGAAAACGGGGGAAAAAAATTCAAATGATTCTAAAAAAGCAGGTGCACAACTTCAACATATGTACAAGCTTCAAACAGGAAAACCAACAGTCTAATTTATATACAAAATGAGAAATGAAAATCACCTATGAACTACATCAACAAATGATAACCACTTAGCAACAGGCTCCTGACTTAGAACAGGTGCATATAAAACAAGAGGCTCTTGAGAGCCTGAATTGCTCTCCTGATTTTTTTTATCTTTCATAATTTTTTATGAAAATTAACAAACATGATGAACAAATTAAGAAAAATTTGTACTTGATCTTAGTTTTGTGGTAATGAATATTGTGTATAGGTTTCATAATGTTTGGTTGCGATACCACAGTTTCCCGAGGATTGCAAGAACAAATGAATATCCCAAGGACAAATTGATTTGTCCCGAAAACATGATTTTACATGGTGTTATATTACTTTAAACAATATTAAAGAATATAATTTTAAGATATTATTCGTTTTTACTCAATAAAAGTGCAATTTCACTTCAAGAAATCGATTAGTAGGTCTTGTATGCAAATTCCTTGTTGAAAACAATATGGCGGACATAATTATTCAAAAGGTAGACAACATAAAAAAAATAATAGTATTAAAAGTACTGAAAGAATAGATTCTTTAAAAAACCTGAAATTATGAAAAGTTAATACAGTTATCATAACTTCTTTCGGGTATTTAAGCTTGCCAAATTACAGTACTTTGCTTTCAAGTCGAGTTATCTACCTTATGAATAATTACGTCCGCCATATTGTTTTCAACAAGGAATTTGCATACAAGACATACAAATCGATTTTCTGAAGATAACTTGTACTTTTATTGAGTATAAACACCTTAAACGTCTTAAACAATATAATTGTATGCTGTTACACTAATTTAAGCAGTATAACACCATGTAAAATCATGTTTTCGGGACAAATCAATTTGTCCTCGGGATATTAAATTTGTTCTTGCAATCCTCTGGAAATCGTGGTACCCATTTGGTTTGGGCAAACTTAAGTTACAGAATGAAAACTAAAAATTTTGCAATCTTTCGATTTATAAAGGGGCATAACTCAATAATGGTTAAAGTGACAATACCCAAATTCAACTTGATCTGTGTTTTATCAGTGGAAGTCAAAATTAAACATTGCATTGTATAAAGCATTGATTGTAGTTGATAATCATGGACAAAGGAAGATAACTCCAATTTTAAAAATTACTTGATATTTAAAAGAAAATAAAAATTTTGCAATTTTTCCATTTATAAAGGGCATAACTCTAGAACGGTTAAAGCGGCGCCACCAAAATTCAAACTTGATCTGTGTTTTGTGGTAATAAGCATTGTGTATAAGTTTCATAACATTTGGTTGAGGCAAACTTAAGTTAGAGAACGGAAACTAAAAATTTTGCACTTTTTCCATTTATAAAGGGATATAACTCTAGAAAGGTTAAAGTGACGCCACCAAAATTCAAACTTGATCTGTGTTTTGTGGTAATAAGCATTGTTTATAAGTTTCATAACATTTGGTTGAGGCAAACTCAAGTTAGAGAACGGAAACCAATTTTGGGACGTACGTACAGACGGACAAGGGTAAAACTTAATGCCCCCACTGCTACGGCTGGGGCATAAAAAAATATTTTAAAAGGGTAATATCTACTTAAGGGGTCAATAAACAATTTTAGTCACTTGACTTATATGTAGATCTTACTTTGCTGAATATTTTTACTGTTTACAGTTTATCTTTATCTATCATATTATTCAAGATAATAACCAAAACAGCAAAATTTCCTTAAAATTATCAATTAAGGGGGATTTCCCCAAAATTGGTTGTCCAACTTGTCTAAAAATTTCCTGGCAGGTAGATCTTGACCTAATGAACACTTTTACTACCTGTCAGATTTGCACTAAATGCTTTAGTTTTTGAGATATAAGCCAAAAACTTCATTTTACCCCTGTTCTATTTACAGCCGGGGCGGCCATTTTTGTTTTACCAAACAATTTAAAATTTTATTCTAGATACGCAAAGGATCATTCAGTTTAAGTGTGGTTGAAATTAGTTTAGTAGTTTCAGAGGAGAAGATTTTTAAAAGTTAACAAACTTGATGAACAAAATGTGTAAAATTTTCTTTAAAGGTCAATAATTCCTTATGGGGTCAATCAACAGTTTTAGTCATATTGACTTATTTGAAGATCTTTCTTTGCTGAACATTTTTGCGTTTTACAGTTTATCTTTATCTATGATAATGATAATGCATTGAGCAAACAGGAATTTTACCAGGACCGAGAAATTACCTCGACTCATCCGAGTTTTCGACACGAGGTTTGACTGTACGAGCTAGTACCCCCCAACTCTAGATTTCTTTTCTCACAATTAGAGACCCAAATAATGCTAATTCTAAATATAAGGTAAAAGTCAGAAAAAGCCTTTTCTTGCTATTTTTTTTAGCATAAAATATCTTGAATAGAAGTTCCATAACCTATCAATACATTTAGCTTATTTTGTTCCTTGTTTAATGCTCTTCTGTTTTATAGTATCAATTCTATATTCTAGATTTTTAAAATTTCACCTAAGTAATCTTAAGCTCAGAACTTCTATACAAATTCATATAACATACATGCCACTTGATGACTATTATCTTTAATCTCCAGTCTTCTTATTGAAACACAACATTCTTTCAATATCTGTAAGATATACATTTAATTTTTACAAAGTTCACACAATGAGTAAATTTCAACAAAGTATCGTTTGTTGGGATATAACACAATTCATACAAGTGAATACCTGTACACTTTGAAAAAACAGCTGGCATGAGAATGATACATATAGGAAAGTGATAAAATGTCAGCAAGCATTTTCTGAATCCTGTAACCAGTGCAGAACTGAAAGTATAAGTAAAGAACTATGTCTTACTTTTGTAACTTTGCACTACATATGAAATCACTCTGCCACACAGCGGATGCAGAGATGGATGGATGGATGGTTGCTTAATGCACATTCATATTTAAGAAGTGTTTGACGAAAAATTTTGAAGTTCATTTTACATATTGAAAATTTTTCAAAGTATCGGCAAACAGGAAGTTGGTATCTGAAAAATCTGAAAAGTGCTCACACGTTAAAACTCATCACTGTTAAGCTGGTGGCCAAGTATGCAGTCATTCCGCTCATTCATATTGGAGAAGTGTTTGACAAAAAATTTTGAAGTTCATTTTACATATTGAAATTTTTTCAAAGTATCGGCAAACAGGAAGTTGGTATCTGAAAAATCTGAAAAGTGTTCATACCTTAGAACTCATCACTGTTACGCTGGTGGCCAAGTATGAAGTCATTCCACGCATTCATATTGAAGAAGTGTTTGACAAAGAATTTTGAAGTCGGACGAACGAACGAATGGACAGACAAACGGATGGACAAGGTCATTGCAATATAGCCCCTACTCTATAGAGTGGGGATATAATTTAACCCAAATTGTTTATCAACAAATGGAAGGTGGTTGCTAGATACACCCCACCTTCTTACAAGTTGGGCATAAATTAAAAGTCGTATATCACTAATGTAACAACAGCCCTTGAAAAGACTGTAAAATATTAAAATCTGTGACAAGGCAGTGATATTGATTTCAACAAATTAATGCAGTTTTGAAAAGGCAGTTATATTTTTTTTAACAATTTTGACAAACAGTTAAAAGTCTGTGATTTTCTTTTTTACTTTAATTAATAAAGTAATTACTTAAGCACACAATGTGTTGATGTATACCACTAGTACTCTATCATGTAATAAAGCTTTGAAAAGGCTATCTTTTGAAAATATATCTATCTGAATGAAATATTTCTTAGCAAGTTTTAGACTAGTACAAAAACAAGACGGTCTCAAGAGTCTTAATAGCTCACCTGTATTTTTTGGATTGACTTCATCATTCATCACAACAGAAACATGTTTTATCATATCTCATTGAACTTACCATATTTTTTTTTTCCCCTTTAAATGGTTTCTTTCTCCATGGAAGGTTTCGACTTGCATCACCATAGTCATACCTGACTTCATCTCCTGAATTTATATCTCTTATGGCAAATAAAACTAAATGTGGGCTCCTATCCACAACAATTTTTTTCATTACAGCATTCTCATCTGCTCCAACTCCATCATTGACAAACCTTCCCTTTTGTTTAGAAAAAGTAGCATCTATGCTAAAATAATGATTGAGATACAATGTTTGTTTCATGGTAAAAGTATAAATTTTCAGCTGACTACTTGAATGTAAGAATGTGCGAGATTGACCTTTGACCTATATATAGCTACTGACACCAAAAATCAACAGTCGTCTTCCTTACCCAAAAAGTCTTCACCTGTGTAAGTTTCATTATTAACCATGAAGGCTGTTAGAACTGAAAATTTGACAATATTTTACTTTAGTATCTAATATCATTTCTATTAAGATAAGGAAAAATTTATGACTGCAGAACATTTTAATGAAGAGAATGACCTTAAATGACTAGTAAAAGAGAATGAACTTAAATGACTAGTAAAAAGAATACAAGATTTCAGAGCAAATCATACTATTTTACTTGGACTTTCCCAAAGTCATTGACAGTTTGATGAGTGATATAATAAGAGAACTATTATGAACATTATAGAAGATGAATGATTGTGAGTGGGATGTTTTCTTTATGTCATAATATTAAAGAACAATTTTGCCTGTAACAAATGCTTAAAGAACTTATGCATCAGAAACCAATTTTCAGAAGAAAAATTGTATTTCATCCAGTAAGTGTGACCTTGACCATTTGACCTGCTGACCCCAAAAATAAAGTCAAATATAGGTGTCTTCACTACTCCTAAAGATATCACTTGTATACCTTTTATTTATATCCATGAAGGCTTACAGAAGTTAAACATTAATAAAATGCTTCGCTGAACGCAGCCTGATACGACCGCAGAGGTCGAACCCTGAACAGTTGGGGCAAATTTAGACACAATATTTAAGCTTGATACTGTCTGAATTTGGATTGTGATCAAATTTTTGACATAATATAGGTTTCTGACACAAAATAAATGTGGTCAAAGATCTTACAAATCTATTGTGCAATACTGTGCAACTGATGGTTTCTTCTGTCTTCTTGAAACTTTTCAAAAATTTGAAATTTGAAAAATTTTGAAAAAAAAATAGGAACCCCTTAAAAAATTGGAAAAAATATTTTTGAATCCCTCCTTGGAGCAATTACCCCAAAACTCAATCCCAGCCTTTCTTTTGTAGTATGGAACCTTGTAGTACAATTTTAGAGAGATCTATTTACTTAAACACAAGTTATTGCCTTGAAACTAGAAAAATGCTTGTTTTTGGCCCTTTTTTGGTCCCTTTTTCCTGCATGTTTGGGGCAATTACCCCCAAACTCATTCCCAGACTTTCCTTTGTGATATGGAACCTTGTTGTACAATGTCAGAGAGATCCATACACTCACACACAAGTTATTGTCTGGAAACTACAAAAATGCTTGTTTTTGGCCCATTTTTGGCCCTTAATTCCTAAACTGTTGGCACCATAACCCCTAAAATAAATCCCAACCTTCTACTTGTGGTATTAAACATTGTGGTACAATTTCAGAGCAATCAAAATAATTATACACAAGTTATTATCCTGAAACTAGAAAAATACTTGTTTTGGGCCTCTTTTGGGCCCCTAATTCCTAAACGGTTGGGACCATCATCCCCAAAATGAATCCCAACCTTCCTTTGGTGGTATTGAACCTTCTTAAAATATTTCATAGAGATCCATTCACTTAAACTAAAGTTAATGTACGGAAACCAAATGTGTCTTCGGACAACGACGCAGATGACGACGATGCAGATGCAGACGACAACAACATCATACCATTATACGGTCGTATAAAAACCAATTTTTAACTAAAAAATATATCTATTTAAGTAAGTGTGACCTTGAACTTTGATCTACTGATCCCCAAATCTTTCATCTGTATGGGTCATTTTCAAAAAACGTAAACTTTTCAGTACACCTCTACTATATTTTTTTTTTATTTTTTGGAAAAAATTGTATCTTTAGTGCTTTAACGAAGGCTTGTATGATTTATGATTCATTGCATCAAAATATACATGATTGACATCAGTTTGGGTAAAATTGTGATAATTTCAATCTCATTTTTACTGCTATCATGCATAAAGTGTCCGAGTATTGTTATTCAAATACTGTTTTTTTTATGTTTTCTGATTGCCATGATCACTGCATGTTGTAATAAATTGGTAGCTAAATAACAAACCTAACGGGAAAACACTATTTCTTTAATATCTAATGAAATATTCTTTATACAAATTAAATTAAGTTGGCATACAGGAAAAGTATGTCTATCCTGTTACTGGCACTAAATCAGCCATGAAATAATTTCTCCCTATTGATTGATTGTTGGTGTTTTAACGCCACTTTTTAGCGCCACATTTGGGCTATTTCGTGGCGGTCAGTTTTTATAGGTGGAGGAAGCCGGAGTGCCCGGAGAAAACCACTGACCTTCGATAGGAAAACTGACAATCCTAGTCAATTAAGATTGGAGTCGAGTGTATCCGCACGAGCGGGGTCCAAACTCACAATCTCAGTGTTGACTGGCTAGTGATTACAGTAGTAGGATTACTTAGACCACTTGGCCACCGAGGCCCATTTTCTCCCTATAAATACAGAATTTAACTGTGATAAGTTCAGAAGCTCATTCAGTTTTTTTAGTTATAAATGATACACTTCACACAAAAATGTGCAGCAAAACGAAATTGAAGTGATGTAGAAAATTAAATTATGTGGTGATCTATTTTTCTTGTCTATGCTGTTACCAACAAATTCTTTATTCAAAACAATGTTATTTGTGTTTAAAGAACAATTACAACTAAGAAAACGATGAAATCTGAGCAAGTGTAAAAATTTGCGGGAAAATAGGTCTCCAAAACAAATTTTCATCATCACCATTCAACTAAGGATACCATGTTTACCTTGAAAGTAGCTTTCATCTTCATTTTTATTTATATAATTCAGGAAATAATAGCAAAAACAGCATTTTGACCACAATGTTCTATTTCTAGTAAGGGCGGCATGTTTTTCAACCAATCCTAAATCCAAGCACCAACTTTTTGCAGTACACAATAAGGAACAATCTTATCAAATTTCAATTGATTTTGAATAGTAGTTTCAGAGAAGACTAGATTTTTGAAATAATAAAATCAAAAATAGCCAAAAATGTCAAAAAGGGCAATAACTCAAACATCAGTTGACAGATTTTCAGGAAAATCAGCACACAGGCAGCTCTCATCATGCTGAACACTTTCAACCTACCAGAATTTGCCTAAACCTAATGATTTTTGAGATATTTGCGAAAAACTGTTGTTTGACCCCTATGTTCAATTTTTAGTATCGGTGGCCATGTTTTTCGAAGGATCAAAAATCGAAGCATAAACTTTGTGCAGGATACCCTAATGAACAATAATGCTAAGTTTCATCCAAATCCATTCAGTAGTTTCAGAGGAGAAGATGTTTGAAAAACTGTTAACATTTTGTTACTGTCTATCCTGTTTCTATTGTTTAAGTAACAGGATAGACAATCAATATCTGAAACCTCTTGAAATAGTTTATAATTGTAAATTTCATTTACATGAAATGGTATATTTGATTATTTTAACTCATATAAAAGAAACAGTATTTTCATTGTCCCAATTATATTATTTTTTTTATTAACAACACAATATGCAGCACTCCTTATTTGTAACAGAAAGTCAAATTTGGTAACAGGATAGAACTAAATAATCCTTTTACCAAAAAGAATAAAGAGCTGTGCCATGAGCGCATGATCAGCTCGCCACCCTTTTAGTTGGTCTTTATGCTTTAAATAGATTAATAAGATCAACTAGAAATACTGCTCTAAGTGTTTTATTGTCCGACAACTGGGAAATCCCCCCCCTGTTTTCTAAACAAAATATCAGAAGTTTGAAAACTGAAAAATCCCCTCTTTTTTTTTAATCATAACTCAGAAATATAAAGTCAAAAATTTGTAAAAATTGAAAGAGAGCTTACGTCAATAGATATAAACAATTCAGCAAAGTTTTATGAAAACTGCTCAAAGCATTTTTGAGTTATTGTCCGAAAACAGGGAAATCCCCCATTTTTTAAAGAATAAAACCTCATAACTCGGAAACGTAAAAGCTGAAATTTATAAAAATCGAAAGGGAGCTCACGTCAATAGAAATAAACAATTCAGCATAGTTTAATACAAACTGGTTAAAGCGTTTTTGAGTTATTGCCCGACATGTTGATGAAATTTGAAAACTGGAAAATCCCCCCCTTTTTTTTTAATCATAACTCACAAACATAAAGTCTAAAATTTAAAAAAAAATTGAAAGTGAGCTTATGTCAATAGATATAAACAATTCAGCAAAGTTTCATGAAAACTGCTGAAAGCATTTTGGAGTTATTGTATGAAAACTGGGAAATCCCCCCTTTTTTAATGAATAAAACCCCAGAACTCGGAAACGTAAATTCTGAAATTTATAAAAATCAAAAGGGAGCTCACGTCAATAGCTGTAAACAATTCAGCAAAGTTATATACAAATTGGTTAAAGTGTTTTTGAGTTATTGTCCGACATGTTGACAACGGACAGATGGACAGACGGACAGACTGACAACAGTATACCATAATACGTCCCGTAAACGGGCGTATAAAAACACAAAAGTGAAAGTATATACAATTTGAATACTTGATGTTCAGTTTTTTAGAGAGAAACTGAAAATAAGGGATTGTTATCAAAGACTTGTGCTGCCAGTCACTGTTTTACAACCTCTTCAAATCAATTTTTATACATTTTTTATTCAAACTTATTGTATGTAGTTAGTCTGTATAATTGTCTCATATTGTAATTTTCTTGTAGTCTCTAATCTTTTCGGAAATCTCATAGGTGTAAATATTTCCTGTAGTTTAAGAAGGTGGTTGTTTATTATTTTGTTGTCGTCGAGTGGTATGCAAAAACTTCCGTTTATAAATGTATAGTGTCAGTGAACAAAACATTGTAGGTCGCCAATGGCAGGCATACTCAATATTTTGAGTTATATTTATTTACCTATCCTAAAGAGCAAAGTTTCATAATGTAAGCCTTCCATTGATGAAATGAAAAGTTTAATGATCACATCAACCTGTATTATATAGCTGTAATTTAGGTAAATTATGTTCTGTGTGTATTGATGAGAAGTCCTGAAGTTCAATATTTAGTTCAAGTAAACACTCCTGATATAGCAAATCTCAATTAAAGTCAAGACAGCAACCCACATATTTGAGCATTTTACACCAATGACCAACTCCAAACACAACTAAACCAAATTTAACATAAGGGATATCTGTGTGTTAACCAAAACATAATCCTTGCAAGTCACACTGGCTTTAAACAGGAAGATATGTAAGAATAATAATTTTATTCAGTTTTGGCCCTTGAGAAACACTCAGCATACAAAATAAAAGTTTGAGTTCCTGCCTGAGCAAGTCAGCTTGCAACCTTCAGTGTGAGGAAGAACCTGCCTGCCCGACAATGCGCTAGCCAGGAAGTGGAGTGTCTCCACAGAGAGGATGAGAATAGACATCTCATGCAGCCGGGTTGTGCAAGGTCTGCATCAGGGGATAGCCCATGTGGTGCTATTACAAGTAGTAAGTAGCAGGGTCTATCAAACTGGCCCTGGAATAATTTTGATCAAATTTGTCCCCGAAATGCTTGGGGAAGAATGAAATTTTAGAAATTACTCGTGATAAAATTCCATCAAGGAAATATAATATGAAAAGAAAAATAATATATATCACTAGTAAAATTGCTGAAATGTTTCCCTTGTCATGAAACATTATTGAAGGTGTTAGGAAGATGGATGGTGGGTGGTAAATTGAATAATAGCACTGTAAACTATATCAACTAGTCAGACTGCTATGAACATAGAAAGTTATTATACAAAGACTATGCATATATGGCTTCACACACAGATTGGGTACATCAATCATACCATGGGAGGAGACTGACCTCACTTGGCCTTCAGAATGATATACTAATTGCTGTGCAATAAATTTTATAAGATCTGTTATCATAATCTGCATTTCCTCACCAAGAGTAATTGTTTTTGACATGAATCTGATTAGGAAATTAAAGATTAATGTTTGTCCTGGTGAGACTACATAACCTCAAAGTGTCAAATACCATAGAAATTATTCTCAAGCTAAAACAGGTGGTGAATGATGTTAAATGTATCAATGATGTCAGCATCTTTCACCATATATTAATTATATGCTTGTTTGTATAAACAAAACTTATATTACATATAAGTCAAATATTTATTCAAAATTGTTGTATGTAGTTAGTCTGTATAATTGTCTCATATTGTAATTTGTTTGTAGTCTCAAATCTTTTCTGAATAATTTTGATCAAATTTGTCCCCGAAATGCTTGTAGGCTATGACCATTGTAGTGATCAGGATTGAAGCTAAGTGATGGCAAAAGCTCACATTTCCTTTCAGGAAAGGTGAGTTAAAAAGGCTAAACACCTACCTTAAACTTTTGCCTCCATACTTGAAAAAAAACACATAGCAGCCTAAGGTGTTGCTGTGTACCTCCAATCTCTTACTTCCCTCTTTGTTAGAAACAAGATCCCCATCATACTCCAGAAGAAATTCACCTTTGTTAAAAGATCTTTCAGCAAACACCCCTTTTCCTGTTACCATAGAATTGAAAAGGCGTTAAAGAAAAAATTCTAAATGAAACAGAAATCAAAAAAGGTTCCTTCATTATTCAACATTAGAGGTATAACTGAACAAATGGAAAAACTACAGACACTATGTCCAAGCTTGATATATCTCTGAATATAGAATTTGATTAAATATTTTACACAGCATAGATTTCTGACACAGGATAAACAAGATAAAGGTGGTCATAGAACTAAGCAAGCTTTAATCAAAAATTTATAGCTTTCTGAAATAAAATGCTCCGCTGGGCGCAGCTTGATACGACCGCAGAGGTCGAAACCCTGAACAGTTGGGCCAGTATGGACACAACATTCAAGCTTGATACAGCACTGAATTTGGATTGTGATTAAATATTTGACACAGCATAGGTTTCTGACACAGAATGAATGTTTTCTAAGAACTTTTGCTTTTATATATAAATCAGAAATAACCAATTTAAAATGGAAAATTTTAAAGAAAAAAAAAGGAAAAAAAAAAAATCCCCCCCCCCCTTTTTTGAACCCCTTATGATTCATCACCCCCAAACTCAATCCCAGCCTTCCCTTTGTGGTTCAATTTCAGAAAGATCCATAGACTAACACACAAGTTATTGTCATGAAACTAGAAAAATGCTTGTTTTTTGCCCCTTTTTTGACCCCTAATTCCTAAAATTTTGAGGCAATTACCCCCAAAATCAATCCAAGCATTCCCTTTGTGATATGGAACCTTGTGGTACAATGTCAGAGAGATCCATACACTAACACACAAGTTTATGTCTGGAAGTTACAAAAATGCTTATTTTTGGCCCCTTTTTGGCCCCTAATTCCTTAACTGTTGGTACCATAACCCCCAAAACCAATCCCAACCTTCCTTTTGTGGTATTGAACCTTATGGTAAAATTTCAGAGAGATCCATTCACTTTAACTAATGTTAGAGTGCGAAAACCAATGTGTCTTCGGAAAAGGCGACGATGACGACGACGACGCGAACGTCATACCAATATACGACAGCAAAATTTGTTTGCGGTCATATAAAAAATCTCAACCATCCTTACAGTAAAATCAAAACAAGAGGCTCTCAAGAGCCTGAATTGCTCACATGTAATTTTCTTTATCCTTCATCATATATTCAAATTGAGAAAAATTGTCCTAAAAGTGCAATAACTCCTTCAAGGGTCAATCAACAATTTTGTTTCATATTGACTTATTTGTAGATCTTACTTTGCTGAACATTTTTTGGTGTTTACAGTTTATCTTTATCTATAATAATATTCAAGATAATAACCATAAACTGCAAAACTTTCCTAAAATCATCAAGTCAGGGGCAATAACCCAAAAAATCAGTTGTCCAAACTTGTCTGAAAATTTTAGAGCAGGTAGATTTTGTCCTGATGAACACTAAAATCCCTCAAATTTGCTCTAACTGCATTTTATCCCTATCTTCTATTTTTAGCCATAACTGCCATGCTTTTTGACGAAACAGTTAAGTTTGGTTGAAATTGGTTCAGTAGTTTCAAAGGAGAAAGTCTTTTAAATAGTAAACACTGGACGGACGATGGACGACGGCAACGGACACCAAGTGATGGCAAAAGCTCACATGTCCTTTCAAGAAAGGTGAGCTAATAACTACAACCAATGAAAATATATATCCTTACCAATTGTATCATCTATATATCTTACAACAAAACCGTCTTTGTCTTTCTTCAACCTGATATACTGTTCAGCCTGTTTTTCAGGAAATGTTTCCTATAAAGAGATAGAGAATTAAAAGCTCTTTATTCATCAGATAATTTAGAAATAGAAACTTCTTCAAAGCTGTTCCTCAGCCTGAAATAAAAACATATATTGTACTTTAAAATTAAAGCATTAGAAGAACTCAGTTTTTGAAAATTCCAAGTAATGTGCATATGTGCTCATTTACCATGTTCACTTTTTGGAAAATATACCTTAAATTAGCTGTGAAAAAGTCTGTAACAAGAATGTGTCCACAGTACAGGGATGCCCCATCCGCACTATCATTTTCTATGTTCAGTGGACCATGAAAATGGGGTAAAAACTCTAATATTTCATTAAAATTAGAAAGATCATATCATAGGGAACATGTGACCTAAGTTTGAAGTTGATTGGACTTCAACTTCATCAATACTACCTCGACCAAAAACTTTAACCTGAAGTGGGACAGACGGACAGACAGACAGACGGACAGACGAACGGACGAACAGACCAGAAAACATAATGCCCATTAATGGGGCATAAAAAAAGCTGGTGATTTTCAAAGTGTTTGTCACGGTTAAATCACAGGGTGCCATGAAACTTGTTCCGTGACAATGCTGAAGAATGACTGATGCTGTGAAAAGATTGCAGAGTGTAACCACCTGGAAACTTGGTTGAAAAGACCGTGAAATAATACTGTAGAAACCCATGGAAATTTGCAGTGAACATGGTGAAAGGGTTGTTATGATGAATTATGTGCTTGTTATGAAAAGACCATAAAATGCACTACTGTGAAAAACAGCTGTTCATTTGTCATGAAAACTCGTGTAAAGTGATTGGTGATACTTACAGCATTTTCCTCAATAAATAAGGGTACACAGTAAAAATTATTTGTAAAGGCCCTGTGAAAAAAACCTGTTAAAAATCAGGTGACAGGTCAAAATAATAGATGTCACATGAAAACCATCTGAAAACACCATTAAATTAAATTGTGAAAACTTTGTACAATGTACATATTTGTTTTCAGGCAATAATTAAAGGTTGTTTAAATCAAGTGGAATGCCTAAAAACCTAATGTAAATAACTGAGGACACTACATATAATGCAAGGGAAGGGACTATGGAATTACAATGAAAATATTTATAAAGTGTCAAATATAAAAGTTTTGTTAAATTATATGCTAGCCAAAACCATTATAAAAATGCAGTGATTTTTCTGTAATAGTTATATGATAAAGAACAAAAAAATGGAGAATATGTCCATGAGATGATGCCCTTACTTGCATATACATACCAATATGAAGGGTCATAACAGAATACCACCCAAATTGGAATGTGATCAGAGCTTTATGGTAATAAATATTGAATATGTTTCATAACATTTGGCTGAGGCAATGCCGCAAACTTAAGTTAAGGAACAGAAACAAAAAATTCAGCAATTTTTCCATATATAAAGGGACATAGCTTCAGTAAGGCAAAAGGGATACCACTCAAGATCTTGATCTGTTTTTTGTGGTAATAGGAATTGTGTACAAGTTTCACACCATTTTGCTAATGCAAACTTAAGTTAGAGAACGGAAACTAATTTTGGGACAAACAGACATACGAACAGTGATTTAACTTAATGCACCTTTCGCCTAGTGGTGGGGGCATAACATTCCCTTTTCATAGAACTGTTATTATCAGTCAGGGGAATTACTTATGCTGATTTCTCACTTATTCATTTATTTAAGTAACATTTTGTCCAGAAATATTGCAAGTAAGAGCAGCCTTTCTTTAATAATTCCCTATTCAAGTAGATCAAATAAATCAATAGACTTAGTGATTTGATTTTATTGTAGCTTTAAATACATCCTGTGGCTAATTATGATGCTAAATTTATCAGAACAAAAAATCTGTTTTTGGCAATTTAAATAAAAAACAAAACATGGTCAGAAAAAAATCCACGAACCTAACCATGCTATTTTGAAGTTACAATCATCCTGAGCTAGAGGTATATTATGTCTTTTGTTTCAGTATGTAATTCAAAATAACTCTGATAATATTTGGATAGAATGATAGCAAATTATAGAGTTATCTCCCCTTAAATGTGAATTTCTAGTGCATTTCAACCAAATTGTATCTTCTATTTATACCAAATTAGGAAAAATAAGATAACATTAAATTATGAACTGAAATCAATGTAAACTTGAGTGGGGTTTTTTTTTTTTTTTGGTCATGATTTTACCACTGCCATGATTGCCTGATTCTTATGGCAGACTGTCACTTGAAATGAATTTAATGGTTTCCAGAAATTCTCTCTTTCATTTTCCCGATTCGATTGACCATCAAGTTTTTCCCCTGACTGATAATGTACAAGAGATGAATATATAAAAAGCACAATATCAATGTGTATAATTAAGTCAGCTATAAGTACATGTTACAATGTATTGTATTTTCACTCCTCTTTGCAAGTTAAATAAAATGCATCTCGGAGCACAGCCCCATAAGACTGCAGAGGTCGACCCTGAACAGTTGGGGACAGGTTTGGACACAATATTCAAGCTTGATATGGTCTGAATTTGGATTGTGATCAAATTTTTGACATAATATAGGTTTCTGACACAGAATAAATGTGGTCAAAAAACTTTAAAATTTGAAACATGACTTTTAATTTACCTAGTATGGTCTGATATCCAAAATCTAAAACATGGTTTTATAAAAACTAGAGGCTCTCAAGAGCCTGTGTCGCTCACCTGATTCTACTTTGGTTTTGGAAATCATGTTAAAATAGATTAAAATCATAACAGATACCCTAATAATGAGTGAGGCCAAATTTGGTTTAATATTGGCCCTGTAAGTTAATTAAAAATCCTGGTGGCCATCTTGAACAGTAAATCAGTAACAAAGTAGCAACACTTCATCAGCACCTCATAAGAAACATTTATGCCATGTTTGGTTTCATTCCATTCAGTGCACCTCTAGAAGAAGCATTTGTATGTATTTCCAATATGGTCTTATGTTAAAGGAAGTTCCCCCGCTGGCAGCCATCATGGATGAAGGATCAGCTTCAAAGTAACAACACTTAGTCAGCACCTTATAAGGAACATTCATGCCATGATTGGTTTCAATCCATTCAGTGGTTCTGTAAAAGAAGACATTTGTATGTATTGTCCGTAGGGTCCTTTGTTAAAAACTGTCCCCAGCTGGTGGCCATCTTGGATGATGGATCGGCTTCAAAGTAACAACACTTGGTCAGCCCTTCATAAGGAATATTCATGCCATGTTTGGTTTCATTCCATTCAGTGGT